CATACTCGAACACATAGAATTATCTAGGAGACAAATTTCTTTCAGGGAGATATAAGGAACAATCTATGACTTAGGATTTTCAAGGAGATGCTAGGTTATTGGCCAAGGGCCTGTTGGAATGCCAAATGCTTCCAGGTGTTGTACTCCACAGGGCAGTATTCAAAGTAGGTCTGGGAGATGTTCCTGGCAGTTGTCCTAGGGATATTCAATCATTTCATTTATTCCTGCCGAATGAGGCAAAAAGACATTTTCTTTTTCTTGAGTGAAATATGCACAATTTTTTTAACACCTTTCCCCCTACAGCAAGAAATATTTTCTCTTATAAAGTGGTCATGACAAGAGTAAAGAGCTTTCCCTCGGGCAAGCCAAGCATCTCATCCATGGGGGTCTGAGTCAGCCAGGAAGGGTGGGCACTGTTGTCAAGGCAACAAGCCCCTGGGCACTGCTTTTTCCTTTTTGCAACATAGCTCATTTTTCTCTGCCCCCACTGATGTGATTCTCAGGTAGTTAGCCAATATGATGGGTCATTTTTAATCAGTCAACTCTTAGGAGACTCCCTAAGGTTCCAAGTAAATCATAATGTTACTGCTGATCTACCTTGGTAGATATCTCACCAGAGCTTGTCTACACCACTGTAATCAGAGTTCTGGATAAAATTTTTTAAAATGACGAATTAGCAAATTAGTAAGTCACCTATGATGTGCTTTGCACTGTTAAGTGAGTGGAAAAAGGGCACCAGCAGTTATAAGGCACATGTGCCTTGTATCCTTTGAGCTAGAGTGGCTCAAAACATTATTTTGCCTCGTGTGTCCTGCTTTAGCAATTGTACTCACAAATCACTGAATGACTTCAGCAACTTTTTCAACCCTCAGGTTCCTAAATATGTTCATACAATCCTTGCAGCTCAATCTTCTGGCTGAAAACTCAGTATATAAAATGGAACCATAATCATCAAATAGCATTCAATTCTATGTTCATCACATAGAGTCTTCAGTCTACGTTAATTATATCTCATAATATCCTATGTTGATTACTAAGATAATAAGATATAAGGACATTTATGGCAGAGACTATTTTGATTTGGGTTGTGAAGAATTAATTCCCAAACTCTCATTTTTATAACATATGGCATCTTTGTTTCCATTGTCCTCTCTTTAATGAGAGGTTTGGGAATTGATTCTTTGGAAATGAATGTACCCAAAGGCTTCAAAATTTAGAATATAATATTTATATTATGTATTAGCAATTGTAATGAAATGAAATAATTTATGTTCAAAAACAAAACAAAGCAAAACAAAACCACTGAATTTGCTGGAGTTTTTTTCTTAATGCTCAACTTGCTCAATGGAGGTTGAGGGAAAACCTTCCTTCAACTTGTATGTATTCTTATTGGAATCACTATTGTAAAACTCAGCTCCCATTCAACATCCTCTATCCTAATAGCTGATATTTAGATAACATTAACTCATTTCACCAAAACATCTCAGTGAGGTTGAAACTAGAGATGTTATTGTCTCCATACTACAGATGAAGAAGTTGAGGCTCAGGGATATTCAGAGACTTGACCCCGGTCACACAGATAGTAAATGTCAGAGTTGAAATTCAAACCCAGATCTTCCTGAGTCCACACACAGTACTAAGCTATGCTGACCCTTCTATGACTTTCCCAATTAAAAATCATCTCTCTTTTCTTAGACATCAATCAAATTTTATATGACTCTCATGCTTTTATTATATTCTAAAGCACCATTGCTATATGGTGATTAAAGAGTCAGACATAACTAAAATGACCAGACAACAACATTACATAGCATTACATGTTGGGTGGGTATATGTGTGCATTATATTCCTCAGGCTGAGCTGTAAACTTTATGAACAGTATGGTAGAGCCCTGGACCAAGAATCAGGAAAATCTGCCATAGATGCTTACTAACTAAATGACCATGGGCAAGGCATTCAATTCTCAGGACTTCAGTTTCCACATTTGTAAAATGGAGACATAAAGCAGTACCCGAATCACAAAGTTATTGTGATTTCAACTGAAGAACTCTGAAAATCTTAAAGCCTTATATAACCATCAATCATTATGAAGAGACGGTACTTAATTATCTTTATATCTCCCCTAGTACTTAGGACAGTTATTTCTACATAATAGATACATAACATGTGGATGAATGAACAAACAAATTAAGCTGAATGCAGTCTGTTACAAAAAAGGGTCATGGTGACCTTTAATTCTCATGCTATAAAATAATTTGATAATTGCCCAATGTCTTTCCCTATGTGTTTTCTTAATTTGTCTGATTACTTCTCATTAGCATTTTCAAATAGGTACTTCTTTGCGTAATTCAGACTCAACACTTGATAAATATTTCACAAGAATGATTAGTACCATGTATCATCATGTAATCAGGCCCACTTTAGTAGATGACAGACCACGTAAAATGATGGGTCCTGGAGATACTATAGCTGAACAATTTACATATATATTCAAATGCATGGTACACTCAAGGGGTCATAGGTCTAGGCCCTATATTGACCCAATGGGAATTTTAATCTCACGAGATATTACTCACAGCTTACTAATTACTTCTGCAGGCTACTGGTACTCTCTTTAATCAGCGGTGGACTCAATAGTTATGGGTTCAGAAGTATTAAGCAACTTGTGCATTCTATGAGTATGAGTACATTTGGTAGAGTTTATTGCTCACTGAGGCAAAGGAATGGCACACGCTTCAAGCCAACTTGATTTTGTTGATCCTTGACAGGTACTCTATGACATAAAACCAAGTTCCCCAGTATCCACAGGTACCTCTTCATATTTACTGCTGCCAGTGACCAGTCCCTACTCTCTTCTAAGCAATTGGAATTAATCACTAACTAATTCAAATTTTGAGGAGCATAGAAACCCATCAGGTTGAGAGAACTTAAAATATCTGCCATTTATTGTCTTTGACAGCCCTTAATGTCCTCTTATACCCTTTAACCAAGTTAGCACTCAGTCAGATCCCATTATCCTGCTTTTAACCTTATAGTCTATCTCCTTTTAAAAAGTGGGATTTGCAGTCAATCAATAAGGTTTTTTATCTGTTTTGTCCTTAAGATTCAATTTCTCAGTAAAGGGAAGTTCTCAATTACTATATGCTGTCTTTCCTTCACACTGAAGACCAGGTATAAAGCCATTGAGTGTATGTTCCAACAACGATAACACTGGTTAGAATAAGAACAGCTGTAACCATTTTGCTGTCTCATAAAATTTTCTCCCACATCAGCACCTTTGAAGAACAACATAGAGGAACATAGTATGTATGTAATTAATACATATTAAATACTGGCTAACATTTTATTGACAAAGAACGATGAGAAAATTCACAGTATATTGTTCTTCTTCTACTTATAATGTGAAAGTAACTATGCGTTAGGGTAAGTTGTTACTTTACCTTACTTGGAGTTTGGGTTCCAGTCATAAAATATTATATTTCAACATATTTGTTGCAAATTCAAACCTATAAGTTATTTGGTCATGAACAATTAAATATTAATGGCATTGGTATTTTTTAAAAAACTATCATGGTTAAAACAACCAAGTGATTACTCTTAACAACAGAAGTGTATATATCAAATATTTAATATGGGTTCCATGCAATCTTTCCCTATAGTTGGTCTCCAACATGGAACACAAAAAATATTTGGTCTGGATGACCGTGCATATTTATTTCATTTCAAAGCCAGGATTGTTTCCAATTTCTATTTATATTCCCATGGCTTAACACAGTGCATAGAGTAGGCATTTAATAATTTTTTTTTTAATTTCTGCATGTATCCACTCATTCCACATGCACAAAGATTAGTAAAGAAAGATTAATCTCTATGTTTATGCTTGTTTTATCTAAACAACTAGCCCTGCCTCCAAAAAACAGCAAAACAAAAAAAGTTCACTGAGAAACAAATACCAAAAAAATTTTTTCAAGGTATGTATGTATTTAATGAGGGCCTGTGTTAATTTTCAAGGGAAAAGCAGGAAAAAAGTTTATTCAAAAAAACTCTTTTGAAACTCAATGAATAAATAACTATTTCCTAATAGAACCCCAAGCAAATAATGCCAATTGAGATTTGAGAAGGTTGCTTAGGGATGCCTTGGAAATTTTCTCATAGTCCCAGTCCCAAGGATTCATAAAGCAATTTTTAGAGTAATAGTAAGTCCCAAGGTAGCATTACTGCTATTTTGTGCCCATTAGCCATCCTGAATTAATTCATTGAAATTTCCAGGCAAACATATAAAATCGAAATTCCATAGATTTTGGGAAATTCTGCCAGTTAATAAGAATACCATTTCCACTCAAAAGAGTTCACTTTGAATCTTTTCTTGGTCATTTTATATTCTCTACCTGGCCTCAAGGAACCACTTCATTTCCATATGTACCTTTTAAAAATGGCATAGCAGGTGTATCTACCCAAAACTGGAAGGTTAATTCAATTCTATTCAAGACAGCTTTATTGATATGGTTCAGATTCATGGCAAAAGACATTCGAAGATTTTTCTTTTACTAACTTGATACATAGTCCCCTTAGAGATAAAGGGAAAAGTGGACATAAATTTGATTTAAAAAAATATCTTTTTATTGGACACAATCCAGGCATTATTTAAGCCATGACTCACTGTAGAATCCAGTTATATTATTTTAGTCTAGTTGCTTTCCTAGAGAGAAAAAAACCCTCAGATTTAGTGAGGGTTCCATGTATTTTTATTTTTGTTATTTTGGATACAGTTGAATTTAAAAATAGAAAAATGCTTATTCAATGTTTAAAATGAATTCTTCAAGAGAGATGTAGCTTTATTTAAACATAGTATAGTTCTTTCCTTATGGGAAGATGAAAGTAAAGAGGAAATAAAAATTTCTTTGTCCAATCGTCCTCATTGTTTTTCTACCTCCATCTAAGATAAACTGAAGTCAGATGAGCTGTACAGTATTTCTAGATAAGCATCATTAAGTATTTACCATGGCTTTGTTGTCTGGCAGAGGACCTCAGGAGCCTCTTCTTCTGAATATCAGGGGATGGGGTCACCTATGGATCCATAGACTATCTGTCACATGACCGTAACAATAGTTGTGAGGGACCTTTTGCCTAGCCATGATTTCAGCAGTGAAAAACACCGAGGGGGGGAAAGTCAGTACAATGTCCAGTTGTCAAGAACTATAGGCAGGAGACAGATTCTTGCTAGGTCATCATGGTGTCATTTAAAGGCAAAAGACAGCTGACCTAAGAAAATCCAGAAAATAGCAGGTAAGTAAGAGACTAGCAAGTGTTCTAGGCTACAAAATAGCAATATCAAAGTGGCTGGGGCCTATGAGAACAATGAATCATAATCAATTCCTGTCCGTTGGATAACTCATTGGAACACTAAGTGAAGAGGAGTAGGTCCAGTGAAGGACTACTCTACAGATTGCTCTCAAGCACCTATCTCTGGAGGTATGCAACAAAGAGAGAACTGGAGTCAGGATGCTGGTGAACATAGTTCTGAATATTAAGGAATTGAGACAGCGCTAAAGCTAAATTGGCAGAGTTAAACCTAAAGGCAACAAATTTACTGTTTGACTCACTCTCACTGGAGTTCTCACGGTGACAGAAGCCATACAGAACATCTACCCACGTAGGGGTAGCAAGCAACTCCAATAGCCCTAAATGTTCATGGGCAGAGAACTGAGGTCATTAAGCAAGGTACCTGAAAACAAGTTTCTTCACTAGAAACAATAAACTGTCAAAAGTAGCAGTCACATCAGAAGTGCCTAGATTATCTGGCCAGTGACTAGATTAATACATAAAGATTCATATATAGATTAGATAAAGGAATGGGACAGAATCCATTTTGCCTTTGATGAAAGAAAGAAAACAAAGCAAAGATGTTACAATCATGATCTCAGACAAGGTAACAGTAAAATTAGATGATTAAAAAGAGATAAACTAGGAAATTATACACACACACACACACACACACATATATGTATATATACATATACATACATACATATATATATATATATATATATATATATATATATATATATATATATATCACAGGGATATATGATGTCTGATCGTTTTGCAGTTGCATACTTTTAAGTCTTGAGGTGATCATGGTAATCCAAGATGCTCTATATAATTTGAAGTTGCTTTGAATGGAATTTCTGTTTTCTAACTCTTCCTCCTGTGTTTAGATAACATACAAAAAGGGTATCAGTTTCATAGGTTTGTTTTAGATTCTACTGCTTTTAATCTTTTTATCATTTTTAGCTGATTCTCTAGGCTTTACTATTCCTTGTTCTATTAATCTGAGTATTTTTTTGAAATATTTATTTATTACTTTTATCAGTTTTGTTGGCAGATAATTAGGAAACCAGTTTCCATCAATTTCCTTTATTTCTTTTTCATCTGTGGAGATATATGTATATGCATGTATGTATGCCTGTATGTATGTATACACACACACACACACACTCTCTCTCTCTCTCTCTCTCTCTCTATATATATATATATATATATATATGTGTGTGTGTGTGTGTGTATACATACATACAGGCATACATACATGCATATATATATATATATATATATATATATATATATATAGAGAGAGAGAGAGAGAGAGAGAGAGAGAGAGACTTGGTTCTCTCTTTTTTGAAATCAAATTAGTGAATGAATTTGTTTAGATTTGTCTAAGTCTGAAAAGGACACATAAAAGTTACACAATCATTTTTATTTTATTATTTCTCCCTGTATTTAAATTGCTTTTTCCTTTAAATAGACTTTACACCATTCAGTATGTATATGTTTGGTATTGATATAATCATATTATCTATGATGCTTTTAAGCATTATATAATTTCCTAGCTTATCTCTTTTTAGTCACATAATTTTACTATTACCTTGTCTGAGATCATGATTTTAACATCTTTGCTTTTTTTTTCTTTCACCAAAGGCAAAATAGATTCTGTCCTATTCCTTTATCTAATCTCTGTGTGAATCTTTATGTTCAAATTATGTTTTCTATGAACAACATATTTTTAGACTGCTTTCTAATTCATTCTTCTATCTTCCTCTGTTTTATGGGAAATTTCATCTCATTCAAATTCATAGTTATGATCATTAATTGCATTTTGTTCTTGAGTCTTATCCTATTAAAATGAGTCCTTTCTTAGACCCCCACCCTCTCTTTTTTAAGAAAAATAAGAAGAAAAAACAAAGAGCTTCAGATTAATAGTAGTTATCTACAATTGGAGCAGTATGTTTCCATCCAGTTTTTCTTTCCTCTCTTCATTCATCTCAGGTCTTGGTTTCTAGGTGTTACTCTTTCTTTCTCTCCTTAAAATCCCCACTTTATAATCGATCCCCTTTAGTGTCAGTTTGTTCCATTTGTGGCTATTCCTGCCTAATTGCTACTCTCCCTTTTAAGCCCCTCTTCCTTCTTTCTGTTTTCACCTATTTCCCTATTGATTTTAGTGTATTTCTACTGTATATTCTTTTTGTGTTTGTATATGTAATGAATCTTTCTTCCCATGAAAATATAAAAAGCATGAGATGTTTTCTCCCCATGCATTACTCCATGTTTATACTTTCTTCTGACATTCCCCAGTTATGAAGAATGGTTTCTTCCTCCATCTCTTTCATTTTTTCATGAATACATTCTTTTTAAACAAAGAATTGCAAAACTCCACTTAGGCCCTGTATTTGTCTTTCTTTGTTCCTTCTTTGGCTCTTAAAGGCAGTGAGATCTGGAATGGACAATGATCTCTTTTTTTCCCTGTTAAGCTGTAAACAGTTATCATTTAGCCCTTTTAAATTGCTCAAAGGTATTTACATTCATAATTTTCCTTCTCTCTTATATTTGGGTTTCAAAAATTCTTCCCAACAGTAATGCTTGAAAATATTCTATTTTACTAAAGATCCTCTTTCTCCCTTGTCAAATTATACTCAGTTTTTCAGGATGTAACAAGTAGTTTTAGCTTTTTTTTTTACACATCATATTCCAATATTTCTTTTATTTTATACTAGTTGCTGCTAAGTCTTGTATAGAAGGGAAATGAACTGGGCATTGCTATTGGAGCAATCTCTTGATAGTTCAGTGAGTTCCTTTTTCCCACTGAGTCTTATGTCCCTAGATTTCCAGTAGTGATCTGTGGTTTACATGCAAGGTAAACATACTTTATGGGATACTGAGAGAAGAGGAAGAGAGGGAGAGAAGGGAAGGAAGACACAGAGAGAGATTTAATAGGTACAATAACTATCAAGTACATGGACCATCATAGGAAATTCCTAGTTCAATAAAAGCACACAAATCAATAGAAATGGGACAAACTAAAGGAACAAACTAAGAGATGTCATATAGACTTCCCAATTCCTACCAGAGGGAGAGAGAAAAGGAGAAAAATAAGAAGGGGGGCTTCTTGTTTTTACTTTTCAGAGGAGAAGCCTTTTATTGATCACTATTTGTATAGAAGGTAAGAATTCAGGATGCTCTCTACTGCTCCATTTTCTGGAACAGAAGAGACACAATGTTCAAACACAGAAGAGAGATAGCATGAGAGCAGACCTAAACCACTATTCTCTTGCACAACTGAAAAGAAAGAGCACAAGGTTAAAAGAAATTGAAACTTTTCCTACTTGTCCTTTAGTCCATTAAACTGTGAGTTCTGTGAAAGCAAGAATTCTTTTTTCTTTCTTTGTATCCTCAGTGCTTCACATAGTGCCCAACACAGTTAGCACTTAATAAATGCTTGTTTACTGACTGACTAATTAGTTGGATTCTGTTTCTTCTTACCTAGGTCTTCTTTGCTTTGCCCTCCTGAGAAATGGAAAAAATGCCTGCATGCTAAGTTTAGTCAGTGGAAGTTGTGTCTTTTCCAAAGAAGATTGAATCAAGGTGGCTCTGTCCTGTCCATTACAGAAAATTGCTCTATCAATCTGGTCAACTTGAAATGTCAGAGGACACCCTATCCTAAGATCCATTTTTCTAGATTATGCCAGGGAGTAGGAGAGCTATTATGACATTTTCTCAATTCCAAACAACTACAAGGTAACTGGATGACAACTGATAACTTACAAAATTATAAAGGTGGTTGAGTTGGCAGGTCATTAACTGGATGGGAACTCTGAGCAAATAAGTTCAAGTACAACATGAATCTGAGCTCAGTTGAAGCCCATCAGATCCTTCTTGATCTTGGTTTGTAGCCTCTATATACATTACTTGGGCCAACTTTTATTTTCAATTTTACCTTTTACCTTTGACTCTTGTCTTAATGCTTTTGTAATAAATTATTGCCCTTTGAGTCTGGTTACTCAACAAGCATTTATTAAACATTTACTATATTCCAAACACTATGCTAAGTAGTAGAAATACAAATACAAGCATAAAGGAGTCCATTTTCCCAAGGTATTTATATTCTAATGGGGAAATACAACACATAAAAGGAAGTTGAAAAGGGTGGTGGGGGAGATACTCACAGGAACGTGGTAGAGAAAGTCCAGAGAGTCAGGAGTAGGGCCTGGTGAGGAATTGTGACATGGATGGCCTGGGCATATTCCTTAGAATGGAGGTTTTGGAAAGAAGCAGTCATCATCAAAAAAAGGGGGGATGGGGCTGCAGGGGAAAAGTGTACTTACAGCGTGAGAATTTCAGGAGTGGACCGAACTTCTAGGGTGAGAAGACTTCTGTGGCATGGTAGAGAAAATCCAGAAAATCAAGAATGAAACCTGAATATTATGTTACTGATTATCTCCTTTGACCTTTCTCTTTTTTTGGGGGGGGTACTCAATTTTTAACTTTTTTATTATTTTTTGTCTTATTAATTTACTTATTTTTAGTTTTCAGCATTCACTTCCATAAGATTTTGAGTTCCAAATTTTCTCCCCATCTCATCCCTCCCCCAACCCAAGATGGCATGCATTCTGAATACCCCTTCCCCTAATCTGCCCTAGCTTCTATCTTCCCCCACCCCATTCTCTTATCCACTTCCCCTTCAATCTTCCTGTAGGGCAGGATAGATTTTTATGCCCCATTACCTGTATTTCTTATTTCCCAGTCACATGTGAAAACAATTTTAACATGTGTTTTTAAAACTTTGGGTTCCAAATTTTCTTCCTTCCTCCCTCCCCACCCACCCTCATTGAAAAGGCAACCAACTCAATACAGGTTATACATGTATAGTCATGAAAAACACTTCCATAGTAGTCATGATGTGAAAAAAAACTAACTATATTTCCCTTTATCCTATTCTGACCCCATTTATTCTATTCTTTCTTTTGACCTTGTCCCTCCTCATAAGTGTTTGCTTCTGATTACCCCTTCCTCCAATCTGCACTCCCCTTTATTATCCCCCCACCTCCCACTGTCTTGTCCCCTTCCCTCCTATTTTCCTATAGGGTAACATAGATTTCCATACCCAGTTGACTGTGTATGTTATTCCCTCCTTAAGCCAAATCCTATGAGAATAAGATTCACTCATTCCCTCTCACCTTCCCCCATTTCCCCTCCACTGTAAAAGCCTTTTCTTGTCCATTTCATGTGAGATAATTTACTCCATTCTCTCCCTCCCTTTCTCCTTCTCCCAGTATAACCCTCTCTCACCCCTTAATTTTATTGTCCAGCTATCACCCCTTCATCCTCAACTCACCTTGTGGCCTTTGTCTCTATCTATCTATCTATCTATCTATCTATCTATCTATCTATCTATCTATCTATATGCATAAATATAATTTTTTCCCCTCCAACTACCCTAATACTGACAAAGGTCTCATGAGTTACAAATATCATCTTACCATGCAGGAATGCAAACAGTTCAAACTTAATAAGTCTCTTATGATTTCTCTTTCCTGTTTACCTCTTCATGTTTCACTTAAGTCTTATATTTGAAAATCAAATTTTGTATTCAGCTCTGTTCTTTTCATCAAGATTGCTTGAAAGTCCTCTATTTCACTGAATATCCATTTTTCCCCTAAATGATTATGCTCAGTTTTGCTGCATAGGTGATTCTTGGTTGTAATCCTATCTCCTTTACGCTTGGGAATATTATATTCCACGCCCTCTGGTCCCTTAATGTAGGAGCTGCTAAATCTTGTGTTATCCTGATTGTGTGTCCACAATACTTGAATTGTTTCTTTCTGGCTGCCTGTAATATTTTCTCCTTGACCTGGGAACTCTGGAATTTGCCTACAATATTCCTAGGAATTTTCCTTTGGGGATCTCTTTCAGGAGGTGATAGGTGGCTTCTTTCCATTTCTATTTTGCC